ACCGGAAATTCTGTTTCTTTGTTATGGGGTGGGGCCACAACATTAGTAACAAAGAAACAATTTCCGGAGGATGAGGCCCAGAAATCAGGATTTTAAAAAGATTCCCAGGTGATTCTAACGTGCAGCCAAGGTTGAGAACCACTGTTCTAATGTATCTCCTAAAGCCTTTAAAAATTTTGTTGTTGAATTTATTGGAGTGACACTGGTTAATAAAATTATATAGGTTTCAAGTGTACAGTTCTATAATATATCATCTGTATATTGTATTGTGTGTTCACTACCCAAAGTCAAGTCTACTTCCATCACCATTTATTCCCCCTTTACCCTTTCCTACCTGCCCCCGCCCTCCTTTCCTTCTGGTAATCACCATATTATTTTCTGTGTATATGAATTTTGGTGTTTTTTTTTTTTTTTTGCTTAATCCCTTCACCTATTTCACCCAGACCCTCAACGCCCCTCTGCTCTGACAGCTGTCAGTCTGTTCTTTGTATCTATGAGTCTATTTCTATTTTGTTTGTTTATTTTCTTCATTAGATTCCACATATAAGTGAAATCATATGGTATTTGTCTTTCTCTGACTGGCTTATTTCACTTAGCATAATATTCTCCAGGTCCATCCATGCTGTTGTAAAAGTTAAGATTTCCTTCTTTTTTTTCACGAGCAAATAATATTCCATTGTGCAAATGTACCACAACTTTTTAATCCACTCATCTACTGATGGGCACTTGGGCTGCTTCCAAATCTTGGCTGTTGTAAATAGCACTTCAATGAACATAGGGGTGCATATATTCTTCAGAATTAGTGTTTCTGGTTTCTTTGGATATATTCCCAGAAATGGAATTGCTAGGTCATAAAGCAATTTCATTTTTAATTTTTTGAGGAAACTCCATACTGTTTTTCACAGTGGTTGCACCAACCTGCATTACCACCAAGAGTGCATGAGGGTTCCCTTTTCTCCACATCCTCACCAATACTTGTTGTTCGTTGATTTATTGATTATAGCCATTCTAGCAGGTGTAAGGTGATATCTCATTGTGGTTTTAATTTGCATTTCTCTGATGGACAGTGACATTGACTGTATAATAAAGAGAAAATATGCTAATTAGACTGGATGGCGGAACAACCTTCCAGAACAACTTTCCTGAATGACCAGTGGGTGGGGGGTGGGGCCACGAGGCAGCCAGGGCTGCAAGGGCTAAGCCCCTTGCATGAATTTTGTGCATCAGGCCCCTAGTCTTTTCATATGTCTATTGGCTATCTGTATGTCTTCTTTGGAGAAGTGTCAATTCAGGTCCTTCGCCCATTTTTTAAATTGGATTGTTTGTTTTTTTGGTATTGAGTTGTATAAGTTCTTTATATATTTTGGATATTAATCACTTATCAGATGTATCATTGGCGAATATGTTCTTCCATTTGGTGGATTTTCTTTTCATTTGAGGATGGTTTCCTTTGCTGTGCAATAACTTTTTAGTGTGATGTAGTCCCATTTGTTTATTTTTCTTTTGTTTCCCTTGCCTGAGGTGCTATATATCAGAAAAAAAATATTGCTATGAGATTTTACTGCCTATGTTTTCTTCTAGGATTTTTATGGTTTCTAGTCTTACATTTAAATCTTTAAACCATTTTGAGTTTATTCTTGTGTATGGTGTAAGAATATGGTCTAGTTTTATTTTTTTGCATGCATCTGCCCATTTTTCCCAACACCATTTATTGAAGACTGTCTTTATCCCATTGTATGTTTTTGCCTCCTTTGCCAAATATTAATTGACTATAAAGGCGTGGGTTTATTTCTCCTAAAGCCTTTATCACAATATTATTCTGAATTTCATCTAATCTAAGAGGGCATTGATTTTAAAATACCATTATTTTACATACCACTAAAAAAAAACAAGAAATGCTGCCAGTTAAACTGACACAACATCAGTTATAAGACACATTCCAACTTCAGAGATGTTAAAATGTGGGAATGTATGCTTTAGAATTGATGGCATATAGTAGTTCTTTGTGAATGTGTCTGAGTCACCCCTTCCCACTGGATGGTAATTTCTTTAAAGAAGTGAGGGATTATGTTTTATGCATCTTGTAACTGTTAGTGCCTAGCAGAGGCATTCAATAAGTGTCTGATTAATTGGAAATAGTTATGGTATTTTTAAAAAGATTTTTAAAATTGCTTTTTAGAGAGAGAGGAAGTGAGAGGGAGAGGCAGAGAGAAACATCCATTGAGAGCAGAACATCCATCAGCTGCCTCCTGCATGCCCCCTACCTGGAATCGAGCCCAAAACTCAGGCATGTGCCCTGACTGGGAATCAAACCAGCAATCTTTCAGTGCATGGGACAACGCCCAACCAGCGGAGGAGCCAGGGCAGTTATGAAATAAAGTTTCCTTTCCTGGCCATTAGCAGACCTCATCATTTTGGTTCCTAATTGTCCTTTGTCTTGTCTTTTCTCCTGTTTAGTATATATGACCTCGCATTTAAGCCTGATGGAAACCAACTGATTTTGGCTGCAGGAAACAGATTACTGGTAGGATTTTGTCTGGGTTTCCTTTTTTCCCCCCTCCTGTCCTTCTTGTAAGTACTCTGAAATTTGACACATCTCGCCTTTTTTGAGATAAAAAAGGCAAGGGCAGAAAAACCAGTCATTATTTTTTAATAGGGAAGGAAATGGGCTATTTAAAACAGGTAAGTAAACTGTCTATCAGATAGGAACTTGTGAACAATACCTCCTTTGGAGTCATTAATCTTTCCCTTTTTACTTTGAGACACCCATGGAAGGTTGAAAACAATTAATCAAAATGCCTTTGAAATTGGGCTGGTGTCAGTTCACATTTTGTCCCCCTGAAAAATTCAAGCAACAGGATTGAAGGGACTCCCTCTATGAGAAGCCAGATAGTCTGACCCCAACTTTTAGGCACTGGCCTACCTAAACAACTCCATATGGATGTTGAGCTATTTTTCATGTTTTCAAAGAATATAAGCTCCCTCTGGAATCTATCCCAGTGTATAAAAGTAATTTTCAGAGAACTTTTTATGTTTGACCTAAAAACCTTTGTATGATGTCTCCTTCCTTCTGTGTAAGGCGACTTCCTCTTGCTCTGTTGTCTCTAAATATACAGACTGACTGATCTCCATTCTTTTATGGTAACTACATAATCTTAAAGTCATGGTTAAATTGTTCTGCAGACTTCTTTTCTCAGGGTAAACAGTCCAAAACCTTTTAGGTTTTTTCCCCCCTGTAGTTTATTTTCTCCAACACTAATTGTTTTGGGAGGGGTTTGCCTTGGTTTCTCAGATGCGTTTTTTAAATCTCCACATATTAATACATCTTACACAGCTGTAAAATATCCTAAATCCACATTACAGCTGAATTTTATGACACTCCCTGTGATATGCAAACCCAGAGTTCAGATCTGTGACTTTCAAATTCTTGGTAGCAAATATGAAACATCATCTATGATTTAATCATGTTGTAGGTGGTTCTTTCTATGTGCTGGCTTTATTTGGGAGGGCCTAGCTTGATTGGTAATATGTTCAAATTCACATAAGAATGAGTGAAGTTTGTGGAGAAGTTCCACAGAATAAACTTTTGTTTCTTGAGGATTAATAGTATGTTCCTGGTAATAAAATGCATAGAATTAGGACCTCTACTTCTTGGGTTTTCCAATATTAAATCACATTCTTTCTAGTTTCTCAGTGCAATTTTTACTTGACACACATTTAGAATATTGAAGAATGTTTTGTTATTGTTAACGTGAAAACATTCAAACCTGTAAAGAATTTTTATGAGTTTATTTGAGCCAAACTGTTGACAATTGCCTGGGAAGCAGTATCTCAACGGATTGGGATAATGCTCCAGAGAATGGTGGTTTCTGATCTATTTTTATACATTGCAAATCAAAGGAAAGGATGTAGGTGGGGGTTACATGAGAGAGCAAAGTGGGGGCTGGGGAAACCCTGGGATTGGATAAAAAGTAAAATGATAGACACATACTTAGGTGGGTGCAGGATAGTTAACAGTCAACAATTAACATGATAACAATAACAATGAAGGAATTTGTGGTATCTGTCCTGGCGCCCAGGCACATTAGGTTGTACCCCAAGGAGTCCGGAAAAAGGGAAATTGCAAGTTACCCAGACATTTCAAGGGTGTTATCATAGCAGCAAAAAGACAGATAGGCTCAGTTAAGGAAAAAGTTGACCATGTCAGTGAAGATACTGGCCTAGGAGGAGACTACCCACCATAACTGCTTTTAGTTAAAGTTTAATTTCAGACCATCCTTTGTGGTTACTTTAGGTCTTTGAGTTTGCAAGACCGCCATGCAGGCCTTCCCTGAGCTTGTCAGGTTAGCATGTGGCCCCTTCTGTCCACATTATAAAAACAAAAATAGCAGCAGCAACCTGTAGGAATTCTAACTAATGAATGCCATTTGGATAATGTGTACTTTTGTCCCTTTTTTTTGCCAGGTTTATGACACCTCTGATGGCACTTTACTTCAGTCCCTAAAGGGACACAAAGATACAGTGTACTGTGTGGCATATGCGAAGGATGGTAAGAGGCTGCTCTGGGTTTATAGGCTCTGTAATGGTCTTATGGCTTTTCATTTTTCTCCTTAGTCACTCTTTTATCTTTTTAGTAAGCTGAAGTACAGCTTGCAGTTTCAGAAGATAGTTAAGTCTCATAGATTTCATTTCAATCATTTTATTCAACGAGTTTTATTGAGGGCTATCTATGTGCCAGGCACTGTTCTAGCTGCTTGAGGTACTTCAGAGAACAAAACAGACAAAGACCCCTGCCCTTATGGGGCTTATACCTTTGGGGGAGGGGAAGGAAGAAGGGGCAGTATGAGGGATGATATGTAATAAACATAAATAAATAGTGTGCTGGAAGATAAGTGTTAAGGAAGAAGAAAAAGTAGGTCAGAATAAGGGGATTGAAAGTGGTGCGTGGGATAGTGGATTGAGTATAGTATTGAATAGGGTAGTGAGGTAGACTTACTGAGTCAGGCACAGGTGAGCAAAGGCTTGAAGGTGGGGAGGCAGTGAGATTCTGATGGTGGGCATCTGGGAGAAGGAAGAGAGTTCCTTGCAGAGGGTAGAGCCATTGTAAAAGCTCTCAGGTGGGAGTGTGCCTTTCAGGGGCTGAGGCAGTGAGAATCAGGCGGAGCAGTAGGGGATGAGGGTAGAAAGGTAACGGACATTGGGTGGCCAGATCATGTTGGCTGTCATGAGTACTTTGGCTTTGATGCTCAGTGAAAATAGGGAACCACTAAGAGTTCTGAGCAGAGGAGAGATATGATCTGACTTGCATTTTAGAAAGATTCCTCTAGCTGCTGAAACAGCCTACAAGGAGAGAGAGTTGGGGCAGGGAGATGAGCGTGAGTAAGCATTATCCAGGCAAGTTTTATAACACTGGTGATGGGGGCTCAGACTTCTGGGAGCAGAGGAAGTGGTAAGAAGTGGTCAGATTCTGGATATAGTTTGAAGGTGGAGCCAATAGGATTGCCTGACAGATCAGATGTGGGGTATGAAGAAAGGAGTCAAGGGGGACTTCATGGTTTTTTGTTTTGTTTGTTCATTTGTTTTAAAATAATAGTTTATTGATTTTTAGAGAGAGAGGAAGAGAAAAGAGAGAAACATCGATGTGAGAGTGTAACAGTATAATATTGATCAGCTGCCTCCTGCCCGCCCCTACCCAGATCAAGCCTGCAACCCCATATGCCCTGACCATGAATCAAACCACAACCTTTGGTGCACAGGACGACGCCCAACCAACTGAGCCACACTGGCCAGGGCTGATCTCAAGGTTTTTGACCCGAGAGACTGGAAGGATGGCGTTGCCTTCCACTGAGATATGGAAGTCTGCAGGTAGAGAAACATACAGTGGGAGATCAGGAGTTCAGTTTTGGACATGTTAACTTAAGAAAAGTTGGTGCTATAAGAGAGAGGAGAGGGCATTGTCAGAACAAAGCATCCAGTGGGCAAGAGAAGATGGGTTAGATGGAGCATGGTGGAAGGTAGAGGATGTCACTGCAGGTGCTGGAGGGGGGCGGGGGCATGTGGTGGTAGGTTTCTAATGGAAATTCTCTTCCATTCTTTCAGTGAAATAGGAAGCAACATCAACTGAGAGTGAGGATGGGAAAGGAGGTGTGAGAGAGTTAAGGAGAAAGGAAAAAATGTAAAATGGAACCAGGAGGTACGGTGAGAGACCCCCAATGACATGAAGGGCCCACTTGAAGCTTGAAAATGAGATCAGTTGCTTTGATTGTCTTTTTCTCCACCACTTTGAGCTGCATAGATGCAAGGGTGGAGGAGGTGGAGAATTGGATTTAACTGAGTAGTGGATTTACAAGCATCTCTGAAAATAAAATAAGAGGGTGAAGGAATGGAAGATGTATGCAAAGGAGTGATTATATACATTGACTTCAGCTGAGTAATGAGGGGTGAGAGGACTGCAAGGGATGAAGGACAGCAGAGAGATGGTAGGTTCTGGTGGGATTGAAAGATTATTGGAGTTGGGGTATCAGGTCGGGTGAGAAAGAGAGGTGGTGGTCAGAGAAATGGGTACATGAAGTTGCTTTTGAGAGTTAAAAATAAATCCATGCTACCCACAGCATGGGATTGATAGAAAGAACACAGGTTTTGGAATGAGATGGCTTCACTTGAAACCCCAAAAGCTCTGAGTTTGAGATGATTATTGAATCTCTCTGATTTTCAATTTTCACATGTGTCAAATGAATATAATATGGAAGATAGCATTCTGTGACCACTGCTGAGAAGCCACAGAATCAGTGTGTTATAGTGTTTTAACAAATCTTTGAGATCATTCAGGCTCCAGGCTTTTAACTTCTTTTTATTGACAGACCTCTCTGAGGAGCCAATAAAAGCTATAGACCCCTTTCTAGAAAATGCATATACTTTATATATACACACAATTTTGTGCATACAGTTTTAATCTGATCTAGCCCAGTCTCCTCATTTTATTTTATTTTTTATATGTTTTTATTGATTTCAGAGAGGAAGGAAGAGGTAGAGAGAGATAAAAACATCAGCAATAAGAAAGAATTGATCGGCTCCCTCCTCCACGCCCCCTACTGGGGATCGAGCCCGCTGCAACCTGGGCATGTGCTCTGACTAGCATTGAACCGTGACCTCCTGGTTCATAGGTCGACACTCAACCACTGAACTACCCCAGCCGGGCTCAATCTCCTAATTTTAGACCTACATAAAAACCTAGAGAAGCCAAATCACTTGCTAAGATCATGCAGCAAGTGTTAGTGGCAAAGAAAACACTAATTTCTTGCCTTTTAGTTAAATGTGCTATGCCATGGAAGTCATGTTTTTTTTATGTGTTTTTGAGTTCAAGTTCAGAGTAATACCTTTAGGAGACCTGTGGGACCTCTGGAGTTTATAAGCCTTGGGGCTCTTGGGCCTGCAACACCATTAAGGCCCTTGATGATTTCAGAGTGTGATCTGTCATCAGTGGCATTTGTCAGCACTTTGCAGAGTCCCGTCACACACATTATCTCATTTGATCCTCCCAATAGTCCTCTGAAACAGACAGGAAACGGATTCTCAGCTCCTCTCACAGATGAGAAAACAGGCTTGGAACGATCACAGGTAATGGGCAGAGCTGGGCCCGACCCAGGTCTTCCAACTGCAGAGCCCTTGTTCTTTCTGGTACATCATGCTGCCTCTTCATGACATTTACTAAACAGTGATTAAGAAGTCTTTTAACTTCTCTCAACTGGTCTTTTTCCCTTGGCCCTGGAAATAGAGATACCCCAAATCATGGTTTTGCTCTTTAAGTCTGCTTGTTTCTGATTTTTCACTTAAGTTTTTGTTGTTGTTAATCCTCACCCGAAGATATATTTTTCACTGATTTTTAGAGAGAGTGGAAGGCAGGGAAGGAGGGGGGGGAGGGGAGAAACATTGATGTGAGAGAGACACATCGATTGGTTGCTTCCCTCACACCTCCTGACCGGGGCCAGGGATTAAAGCTGCAACCCAAGTATGTGCCCTTGACTGGGAATCAAACCCACAACCCTCTGGTGTACGGGCCAATGCTCTAATCACTGGGAAACACTGGCCAGGGCTCTCTTAAGTTTTAATAAGTATTTAATGAGCAACCATAATACAAAGGTGTGTAACTGATAAGTGACATCACTGGAAACTCAAACTCGAACTCTGAGCCTGTAGTCCATACTTTCATCACCTACTACCTGCCAGAATGGGAGAGGAGTGACAGAAGTAATCACATATGAAAGCAGCTTCTATTATTTAGTATTTGCAGCAATGTCATACGGCTCACCCTAATATCTACTGTTTCAGTCACTGTGAAAGGTGCTTTACAGATATTATCTGAGTTGACCCCCACAGAGAATCTCTGAAGAAGATACTATGAATATTCCTTATGTTTCAGATGAGGACATTGAGGCTCAGAGAACAGTGACTTTCCCAAGATCAACTTCCAGTTGCCCTAAGAATAAAGTCTAAACATCCTTAACTAGGTGTACAGAATCGAGCCTGTGCTTACCTCTTAATCATCTTTCACTGGAGTAGGTGAAGGCTCCCTGCTGTTGGCTGCCATGATGCCCTGCTCTACTTCTAAGCACTTGCAAACTTGTAGCAATGTAATTAATAAGTAATTACTTGTTATATGTTGCCTCTCTCCAATCCATTCTTTTGTAAAGTCCAGTAGTGTGAAAATGAAAATCTCATCTGTCACTCTTGCTTACAGCCTTTCTTTGGGATAAAGAGAAAGATCTCAATTGTGGCCCTGAAGCTCCTAGAGATCCCTCCCCTTTCCTCCTTACCCCTTCACAGTTCCTATGCCCTTGGAGTTCCATGCTGGCTGTCTTTCAGCCCCTTAGACATGCCAGGCTTTTCCTTCCTCAAGACCTTTGCCATCTGTTCTATCTATGTGGGTCGCGCTTTCTCCTCTCTTTGCACCTGGCTAAGGTTTGCTCAACCTTTAGGTCTCAACTGAAGGATCTCATCCTCAGAGAAGCCTTCCCTCATTTAAATTAGGTACCCCAAGTTATTCTCTCTCATATTTCTTTTGTTACCATATTTTAGTTGTATTGGATCAATTTAATGCTTGCCTTTTCCACTACTCTGTGAAGGTAGCGATTATGTGTGCTTTAATCACTATTTGATCCTTAGCACAGAACATGATTCCTAGCAGATTGTAGACTCTCAATACATCTTTGTTTACTCGGTGCCAGACAGACCAGGATCTGAACCCAAACTTCCTGACTCCAAAGTACTGCTGCCTAGTACTGATAAGAAGAAGGAGTAGAGAAGCAGCTGGCACTTACTAGAGACCTTAAAAGAACCAGTTTTCTAAGAAATATTCTGGGAAATGTTGGTTTAAAATAAATGTGAGAATTTTCTTTTTAAAAATACTTTTAGGCAAGCGCTTTGCTTCTGGATCAGCTGACAAAAGCGTTATTATCTGGACTTCAAAATTGGAAGGCATTTTGAAGTACACGTAAGTAACAATTTAGATGTACAGTATTGTTATTTTGACTCTTATCTTATTGAGCAACTATAGCAAAAGCACCTTAGAAAAGATATAAGAAATAACTTCTTTCTCTGCAATTAAACTTGAAATGAAGTTATGGCGTTATGTGGTGGTATAGGAAGATACGTGAATGAACATTTCTTGAGCACTACTAGCTTGGTCGGCGCTGGGCTTTGTTTTCATATAGCTAAGTTTAGTGAATCTGACATCACAGATTCTACCCTGTCCCAACTTTTCCTCTTGCATCTCAGGGAATGGCCTCATATCCACCCAGTGGCAACAGACAGAAACTTGGGGTTGGAATGCTCCAGGCTTATCTCACTGCAGAGGCTCTGCTCATAGTCTTTCTTGTTCCCTAGTTAACACTACCCACCCTGAAGCTCTCAGATTCAAATGCTGTTTCTTCTGTGAAACCTTTCCTGGCCCTTTAGACCTGGTCAGGTTCCTTGATGGCATTTCTCACAGTTGTAGTTTTACATTTATCTTGTGATTGATGAATATCTCCCATCAGCCTTTAAACTCCAGGAGGGCACACACTGCGTCTGTTTTTGTTCATCCTGTGTCCCTGATATATGTATTAGGTACTCAAGAAATAATTTTTTTAAAATATATTTTTATTGATTTCAGAGAGAAAGGGAGAGAGAAATAGAAACATCAATGATGAGAGAAAATCATTGATCGGCCATCTCCTGCACATCCCCCACTGGGGATCGAGCCTGAAACCTGGGCATGTGCCCTGACCAGGAATCGAACTATCACCTCCAGGTTCATGAGCCTACACTCAACCTCTGAGCCACACTGGCCGGGCTTTCTTAAACATTTTTAAGTGTACAGTTCGGTAGTGTTAAGTATATACATGATGTTGAGCAACCAATCTTTAGAACTCTTTTCATTTTGCAAAATTAAAACTCTGTACACATTAAACAACTCCCCTTCCTATTCCCAGCCCTTGGCATCCACCATTCTACTTGTCTCTATGAATTTTACTATTTTAGGGACCTCATGTAATAAGGAATAATATAGTATTTATCCTTTTGTGGTTGGTTTATTTAACTTACCATAATATCCTAAAGGTTGACACATGTTGTAGCATGTGTCAAAATTCTCTTTTTTTTTAAATCCTCACCAGAGCACATGAAGAGAGAGAGAGAGAGAGAGAGAGAGAGAGAGAGAGGAATGTTGATGTGAGAGAGAGACATTGATCAGTTGCCTTCTGTACATGCCCTCACCGGAATCCAACCCACAACCCAGGTATGTTCTCTGACCAGGAATTGAATGAGCAAGATTTCTTTCCCAGGACAATGCTCAACCAACTGAGCCACACCATCCAGGCAGAATTCTCTTCCTTTTTAAGACTGAATAATATTCTAGTGTATGTATAGACCATTTTTCTTTATCCATTTATATGTTGTCAGTGGACACTTGGGTTGCTTCTATCTCTTGGCTATTTTGAATAATGCTTCTATGAACATGGTTGTACAAATCACCAAACAACTTTTGAATGAATAAATGAATGAATGAGTGAAGTTGTGAGTAAACTGTTACCAGGAAGTAAAGGAATAAAACAGGCTGAGATGCCATGTGTGGTACATGACTCACTTAGCTTTCATTGTTGTCTAAGGATTTGCCATATTTTCAGATCATAGCCTGAAATATCTTTTTACTATATTTTTATTTATTTCAGAAAGGAAAGCAGAGGGAGAGAAAGATAGAAACATCAATAATGAGAGAGAATCATTGATTGGCTGCCTCCTGCATGCCCCCTACTGGGGATCGAGCCTGCAACCCGGGCACATGCCCCGACCGGGAATCAAAATGTGACCTCATGGTTCATAGATCGAACTTAACCATGCCGGCTGGGCTTAGCTTGAAATATCTTCATTGCACCTCCATCTTATATTTCCAGGCCTTCACAAAACAATGAGAATAACAGCCATTAATAAAGCACTTCTTATGCAGCTGGCACTAGACTAAGTGCTTTACATCATTGTATCAGCTCACAAAGCAGAGGTGTCCAGCACACTAGTCCTGGTGGAGGTGGCATTTAAGTTTGGCCAGGCTGATGAGTGGGTAATGTTTAAGAGATAAAAATGGGGTGAGGGGCAATCCAGGGGAAGGAGAATTAATTCCTATGCTTTTTTGTTGGTCACTTGCATAAGAGCTTGTGATGTGTAGTCAGACTGTGGGTTCATCATTTCAATTGTAGCCATCAAAACATTTGCGGTTTGCTGCATAATCTATAATAATAAAAGGGTAATATGCTAATTAGACCACATGTCCTTCAGGATGACCCTCTGGATTAAGCCAGGGCTGCGAGGGAAGCCCAGGTCCTGGGTGCCAGAGGGAAGCCAGTTGGTGCCAGCAGACAGGGGAAGAAAGCCCTACTCTTGCATGAATTTCATTCTTCGGGCCTCTGGTAATCTATAATTGTTTACTTCCCAGGCACAACGATTCTATCCAGTCTGTCTCCTACAATCCTGCTACCCACCAACTTGCATCTTGTTCCTCCAATGATTTTGGTAGGTTCCTGAGAACTTGTCCTGGAATAACTGTAGATTTGAGCAGAAAATACTGAAATCTCTCCAGAAGGTGGTGGTTTTGTCCCAAGAGAGTTATGATATCTCTCTCCCTTAATTGGCTGGTAGGGTGGGCAAGGGTGGGGAAACGATAGTTATTCTTTAAATTGTGTAGAAACCAAGAAAGTGAATGATGACACTGAGTCTGGTAAGAAATCTGGAAAACAGCAAGAAAGGCCCCAGGGAAGGAAAATGGAAAATGGAGAGCACTGGTATAACTTGGTGTTGCCACCTCTGGGAAGCCTTCCCTGCCTCACAGACAGTTCGGTTGTCCCCACCTTCGTGTCCTTCGACATCTGTGTCTGTGTGAAACTCTTCACCATTGTAACTGCTGCTTGCGCAGTGTTTCACCGTTGCTACTGGTGTGGTGGCTATAGCTGTCCTTCCTGCGGGGTTGAATGCTTTGAGGCATTCACTCTGGCCTCAGCACTGGCATAGTGCTGGCACAGAGGAGGGTCAGCGTAGTGTCCATTGAGGCAGGGAGGGAAAGTAAGCAGAGGCTTGTAGGTTATCTCTATTCAAGGTCACTTCTGGCTTTCAGCTCATCAATTCTGTTTTCCATGCTAAGAGATAGTAGGTACAATAGATCAGCCATTATCAAAAAGTCAGAGACTTAATCCCTGTCAGTGTTTGACTTTCCTTATCTAGATGAATGTGTTTCTACAATCTATCTCACTGATAAAGTTCTGAGGTTCAAAAGAGAGAATCCTCCTATATAATAAAAGGCTAATATGCAAATTGTCCCCTCGGGCGGTTGTTTGACTGGAAGTTCGACCACTCGCTATGATGTGCACTGACCACCAGGGGACAGTGTGGAACATAGTGGGCGACCAGCAGCAGCAGTGGGCAGCAGTGGAGGTGCTGCCAGCCCTGATGGGCCCTGACAAGAGTGGGACCATGGAGGGGTGGTGGAGCAGGTAAGCAGGCGGTTCCAGGCCAAGGCAGGTGTGAGTGGGGGCCCAATTGCCCCACTGATTGCCCCACAGACGGCCACCAGTGATGGTGGCAGGGTGCGGGGGGGCCCCTGGCCCCGATCGATTGCCCCACAGGCTGGATGGTGGAGTAAGTGGGGGTGGGGGGGCGGCACCAGGCCAAGGCAGGGTGCCAGGTGGGGCTGCGGGGCTGCGAGGCTGGGGGTGCGAGCTGGGACCCAATCCCCGCAGGCCACCCTGAGGGATCCCACCCATGTACAAATTCGTGCACCGGGCCTTTAGAGTATAAATAAAAGGGCAAAAGACTATCATTCATTAATAAAATATAGCATTTTTTTCATGTAAATGTGCTTACTTTTGGGATTAAGAAGACAAAATAGAATCCCTGCCCTCAAAGAACTTGTAGTCAGGGGTAGGAGGGAAGGTAGAATTTGTAAAAAAGTAATAGTAATAACTGTACTTATTGAATGCTTGTGGTGTGCTAGGTACTGTGCTAAGGGTGAAAAATGAATTCCTATTTGAGCTCTATGACAACCCTTTAGGTCAGGTCATTATTCTCATTCTCACTCCAATGATGAAAAAAGAATTGGGGCTTAGAGCAAGCAGTTACTGGTTACCCAGCAAGTAAGTGGTGGGACCAGGGATTGGACTTGAGTCATGTAAGCACTGCTGAGGAAGGCCCAGGAGGGTAGGGTTTCTTTCGGCTAGAGACTTGTGGGCAGGCTCAGTGGAGCACAGATAATATGCACGAGGTGGAAATGTTTGGGGAGGCATTCTGGATCAGGGTAAAGGGAAAAACCATTTGTTTGATGTTGCACCTTGCTACATAAATATATTTTCACACTATATTTACTTTCTTGGTTATGCCATATGGCTCAGGCAAAGGGTAGAATTTGTTTATATTGCCTGTTGTGGGACCCTAAGCCAGAGCATCTGGAGCAGGAGGGAGCAAGCGGAAGATGACCAATGTGCCATGGACAAGGCACAGCTTGTATAGGATCATGTGCTGTGGGTGAGGCCTGGGAGTGGAAATCAGATCCCCAGAAAGCATCATTCATTACTTTGAATGCTAAGTTGTACTCTGGTTACAATGTAACAGTTATTTACACTGAAGTTGCCATTTCTTGCAGTAAAAACCCTGAAAAGTTGGCTATAAATTCACCAATCTATCTTCCTTTTTTCTTTTTATCCTATATAATAAAAGACTAATATGCAAATCGACCGAACAGCAGAACAACCAGTCACCATGATGCGCACTGACCACCAGGAGGTAGACTCTCAACGCAGGAGCTGCCACCTGGTGGTCAGTGCACTCCCACAGGGGGAGTGCTGCTCAGCCAGAAATCAGGCTCACAGCTGGCAAGCGCAGTGGTGGTGGTGGGAGCCTCTCCCGCCTCCACAGCAGTGCTAAAGATGTCCGACTGCTGGTTTAGTCCCGCTCTCTGGGGGAAGTGGGCCTAAGCCGTCAGTTGGACATCCCCCGAGGGCTCCTGCACTGCGAGAGGGCATAGGCCAGACTGAGGGACCCCTCCCCCAAGTGCACAAATTTTGTGCACTGGGCCTCTAGCTTTGAAATAATTACAGATTCTTAGTAAGTTTCAAAGATAATGGAGAAGTCTTATGTACTCTTCATCCAGTTTCCCCGTGGATACATCTTATGTAACTGTTATATAATATCAAAACCAGGATGCTGGGTTTCTCCTCACCATAAAGATATTCCTTATCATCATCTACTCCCCTACACTTCCTATTATCCCTAACATCTGGTACCTGGAAACTATTAATCTCTTCTCCATTTCTATATAATTTTGTCATTTCAAGAATTTATAAAGTTGAATCATACAGTGTGTGATCTTTTAAGATTGGCTTTTTTTTCACTCAGCCATAAAGCTCCAGAGATCCTCTAAGTTGTCTGTGTATCAGTTTTCTGTTCCTCTTTTATTGCTGAGTAATATTCCAACCAATCTGTCTTTTTTTAATGTTATTTTTCATTGAAGGCTTGTGGTCTCCTGAACAGAAGTCTGTCTCCAAGCACAAATCCAGCAGCAAGATCACCTGCTGTAGGTGAGTTAGAGACAGCTCTGAAGGTAGACTTTATGTTCCCTTCTTGTCTAAACAGACTCTCAAATCCAGTAAATTCAAATAGTAGAGAAAGTCTGTATTAGCTAGTTGGTTTAGGCCCCTGTATTTCCTCTTGCCTTCTTTTCTGGTCTCCTTGGTAGGAAGGACTTGTACCTGCCTTTGACCATCAAGCAAAAGAAAACTATAAATTGCTTTCATGCAGTTATCTAGTTACAAACCTCCTCAGCCTACAGCTGTCCTCAGTGGAGACTCTCTGGAGATGCAAGATTGTCCTTTCCAGGCGGCATGGGCACTGGAGAAAGCATAGGCTTTGATGCTAGACCTGGATTCATATCCAGATGGATCACTGACAGGCTCAGTGACCTTAGGAAAGTTACAAAATCTCTCTGACTGGAGCCTCAGGTTCCTCATCTGACATTACTGGATAAAAATACTGATTTGATAGGGCTGTTGTGAAATGCACACAAACTAAAGAGTCTAAAAGCATACAGCACAGAGCCTGGCATATAGAAGACACTTTATAAATGGTAGCTATTCTTGTTGTTCAGCTTCTGAGTGTAGCCTTCCTTTCATTCAACATCTGTTAAGCACCTGTTCTAGAGGCCTAGAATACACCAAGACATGAATTGTGTTCTTAATGTGTTCTTGAAGTGGGAGGGTGTTGAAATGGTGAGTGGGGAAAGGAGGCTGACCCAGCAATGCAGACACAAGCTAAGGGCTATCATGGAGGTCTGTACAGAGAGCTGTGAGAGCTCAGAAAAAGGGGCTCCTGTCTTCACATCTATCTGTTTATCCCAGAAATAAATGGGATTTTAAGTCTGGTCCTCTAATTTTTACATCATCACCAGGATGAGCTTAACCATTGCTGCCTCATTAGATTCTATATCAACCAAGGCATCATCCTCACTGGTTTTTACTTTCTGTGTGTTCCTTTCACTCTCCCTGTGCCCTTTGCTGGTTGTGTGAACAGCTGGACAAATGATGGTCAGTACCTGGCTCTGGGGATGTTCAATGGAATCATCAGCCTACGGAACAAAAATGGCGAGGAAAAAGTGAAGATCGAGCGGCCTGGGGGCTCCCTCTCCCCGATATGGTCCATCTGCTGGAACCCTTCAAGGTGCTCTTTCAGCTATCCTCTTTCTAGGGCACACTGTTTCATTTTCTCCCCGTAAGGTCTCTCCATGCATTCAAAGGCTTCTCAGCCCACTTGACTGATATGTTTTGGAACCTCTTCCATTTTAATGGAATTTTTTAAGGGCCCATCTTGTGTTTTGGAATGAATCCCAGAAATTTAGCTAAGCAGATGCGCTATCTAGGCCATCTCAAACTGTGTGTGTGCGCATGCACACATGTGACACAGAAGGGCCATTTTCTTATGAATCAGTAGCTCACCTCTTTGCTGTGGCTTTATTTTGGTCTTTTCCCTTTTTCAGTTCTTTTCTCCAAGTTGGGCAGAACATGTGTCCACCCAATAATAAATAGCTTTTTTATGAGTCTTTTTTGCTGCCCTTGCCCAAAAAAAGCCTGATTAAGTCTATAAGTGTCCCCAAATTCTATAGTCCCACAACAATTGGCATCTACTTTCTCAAACCTTACACACACTTTTCTTTCTATGCCAATGTGACTTTGAGGGTGGGCTAATATCTTTATATGCTCTTTATGTAATCCTGTAATATTAAACCACCAATGTCTCCCACAGAGTCCTCTGCAGGTAAATTAAAGGACTTCATTGTTTGCCAGCCCAATGTCACTTTACAGGTGGTGCCTTCTTGATTTAGAAGGTTGTGTAATTCCACTGCCTTTCTATACCAGATTATTATGCTTCTTCCTGAATAACTTTGTCCAGCCCAGAGCTGTACCATGCATGTCTAATGCCTTCAAAGCCATTAGCCTACCCCCAAGTTCCTGCTGTTTGATTTTGTGGCCACAGATGACTTTGTGGCTTCAGGGTACCATTTTTAATTCATGAGAAGCAGGATGCCCAGTGTACCTGGTTGCTTTCCTTTCCGGCAGGGTTCAGGGGCTCCTTGACAGGTTTTGAAATTATGGCTTTAGTGTAGTTCTAGGCATTGTGATTGTGAACAACCACTTATTGTCTACAGCCGATGGGAGAGTTTCTGGATGAACAGAGAGAACGAGGATGCCGAGGAAGTCATTGTCAACAGATATTTTCAGGAAATTCCTTCCACTCTGAAGTCAGCAGTGTACAGTAGTCAGGGTAGTGAGGCAGAGGAGGAAGAGCCAGAGGAAGAGGACGACAGTCTCAGGGACGACAACTTGTGAGTGTGTCCCGAGGAGCGAGAACCCTCCTTGGAAGGGACAGACCCCGGAGCAGACCTGCTGGGGCAGTTGCTGCTCTAAGCTCTTTTCTAAGAGGGTTTGAGGTCGTTGTTGGTGAAAGCTCCTCCAATACGGGGGAAATACACCCTTTTAAAACTTGTGTGTGGATTATAAAATCATCCTTTGAGAGTCTTCAGGAAATACTGAAAAGTCTAAAGGAAAAAGTTCAACTCTTCTGTAAAACCCCATCCTCTGAGGAAACCACTGTTAGCATTTTATTGTATTTCCCCTCAGTGTGTTCATATAATTTACTAAATCACATCCTACTTTCCATTTTCCACTTAACATCACAGAGTGAACACTGTCTAGTAACATTAGGAGTCCTTTGAAAACATGATTTTGAATGTCTGCATAGTATGCCCCTGTGTGGATGTACCATAATTCATTTAACACCTCCTCTATTACTGGACACCTTTCTTAGCCTGTTCCTACACTATACCTTACCTTGCATTTTCTAGAGCACTTATCAGAGAAGAAGCCTTCAACTTACCCATAATCCTCATGACCCAAATCCTATCTGTTCAGGCATTCTTTCTTTCTGGAATGGAAAAGCTGGGATAGCCAGGATTTTCTGATTGGGCAAAAATGGTCTGGCTTGGAACTTTCCAAACTGTTCTGTGGTACCTGCGGTTCTTCGGAAAAAGGAGGTGGGAGGTGGGGGGGATGAGGAAAGGAGGGAGAGGTGGGCTTCAGGTCCCCATCTGTGCTTCAAACAGAGTAATCCTTTTTATTACTTAACATGAATTTTGTTTTGGTGGAGACCCACTGCCAGGGGAGAAAAATGAAAAAAAGAGGTTGAAAACCACCAATTCAGTTCATGGGGCTTGAACCCAGTTGAGAGGCATATGTGGCATGCCCAAGAGGGCTCACTGCAGGCTGGGCTCCTAGACTGTGTTTGGACTTCAGTGCCAGTCACGCAAAGTTTACCTGCAGGTCCCTTCCTGTTAACATCGCTCTTGATCTTTGTCTTTTTCCCCCTTAGTTGTGAATTAGTGCCCGTGGTATTTGCCACTTTGCACTCTTAGCTGAGTTTTGCAGGTAAGGTTGTACCATTCCTGGCCTGCATATCTAATGGTGCTGCCGTTGACCACCAGGGTTTGGGTTCAGGAAAACTGGACCTAATAAACAGAGGAGGCAACATTAGGTGCTAAGACCAGGCCTCAAAGGCAGGGATTAAACTCTTAAACTAGATCCCAAGTAGCCTCATCCCCAGCCTCAGTTTCTCCCATGTGCTGGTCCTACAGTCCTGGTGCCAAGGCACTGATCCTGATAGGGACTCAGTTTCAAAGACAGTTGTTGATCATTAGAGAGCCCATTACTTTTATTTTTACAGTATCCAGTCAGACACCATTTCATCCTAACTGTGAGAGAACCTAGTTTAGGTATTAATTTTCCCTCTTCAAGCAGAGCAAGCAAGGTTTCCTCTGTATATTAAAAAAGTCAGACAATCCATGCCTTCCCACTGCAAAAGACATTTCTCTATCTCCCTATATTGTGTGGTACATAAGAATAAAGCACTCTTTTTATTTCTTCTTTTTTATTTTAATTTATTGTTTAAATTATTACAAATAGTAGTACATATGTCTCATTTTTTTCCCCCCACTGAACCTCCCCCCAGCCTCTCCTACCTCCCGGCACTTGCCCTCGTCCCCTCGCCCCCAGTGTCTTTCATCTGTTGGTTGTGCTTATATGCATACATATAAGTCCTTCGGTTGATCTCTTACCCCCGCCCCCACCC